CCGGCGCGGGGCGGCCGGCTGCCGGGGAAGGAGGCGGCCCCGCTGCAGCGCAGGGGCTCCCTCAAGCCCAGCGCCAAGCCCCTCAGGAACATCCCCCGGCCCAAGCCCGAGGACAGCAAGCTCTCCAGCTCCGAGAGCCCTGCGGACGAGCCCGGCGCCCCCCGGGGCCCGGCCCCCATCCCCAGCTTCGCCCGAAATACTGTGGCCTCCTCGTCCCGGTGCCTGAGAACCGACGTCCCGCCCGCCGCCAAAGCCCGCGCCATCACCAGGACCGTCTCCCAGCGGCAGCTGAAGGTCAAGGGCGGCCCCGAGGACGCCGGCCCCAGGGACGGCACCCTGAGGCGCGCCAGCAGCGCCCGGGCCCCCAGAAAGTGCCCCGAATCCCCCGAGGGGCCCGACGCCGACAGCCCGCTGAAGGCCAGGGGGGCCAGGGACAGGACCTCCCTCCGGCTGAAGGACGCCGGGCGGGCCACGCTGGGGCGGATCCTCCATCCTCTGCAGAAGTGATGCGCCCCTCCAGCCCTGAAGATCTGGGGTCTCTGGGCCACAGCTTGTCATGCGCACTCCTGCTGTCAAATCCAGGGTGTGGAAAGCCATCTGCCTCACCTCCGGGGGCGGGGGAGGGGGACCCCTAACCCTCATCCTGCACCCCAGACAAAGGTTCCACCATCTATGATAGACTGGATAGGATGACATTATGTAATAACTGAACAAAAAAAAAGAAAAAATACTTCTGGCCAGTTTTTATATATCAAAGACTTATTTTTTAATATTATAACAATAAAATAATGTTGTAGTTGGTTCCTTTTGCAGAGTAAAATGCCTCCCAGGGGAGAAACTTTATCCTTAAAGTGAAGAGGCTCCTATCTTCCTGGATTTCCAGGCCCTAGACTCCCTGACCTGCCCAAAATTGGCCCTGCATGGGCAGCTGCCCCACCCCCCTCGAGGCCTTGGGTGTTCTGGCCTTGCCTGTTTGTCCTTGTGTTACTCTGCAGGTCTGTGTGTGAATGAAAGGCGATGTTAGACTCAGGTAGACAGAAATCATATATATGTTCCTGCCTTTTGAGGGGGTCCATGGGTGACCCCCAAGGCATCAGCGAAGTGCTTCCTGCAGATGGTGGATCCCAGAACCTCCACGTGCTGTTTTTGGCTGGGAAGACATCAGAGGCAGTGCGGCTGCGCACGTGGTCCTCACTTGGCTTGTCCGTTTTGTATCCGTTAAAAAGCTGTGATGGCTGCTCTGACATGCGTCTGCCTTGGCTCCAGAACCCCCGCGTGTCTCCAGTCTTCCTCCTCTCCCTCTGCCTGCTCCAAGCCCTCCTCTTTCAAATGTCACTGGTCCTGCCGTTCCTCCTGGCCTTCACGCTCTCAGGTTCCTGTTCTCAGCGGTATTTTTTTTTAATGTTGACGTTTCTTCCTTGGTACAGTGGTGGTCAATCCCAATTCAAGCTATTTTATCAGAAATTTTTAGTTTATTTTTTTTTAACTTTCATCCAAAAGAAAGCATAAAATCTCCCCCAGTACTCTTTCATGACCTCTCTAGGAAATGGGAGAATGAATAATTGAAAGTTTTTTGTTTTTTTTAAAGATTGTCTCCCCTTTTCACTCTAGATCACATATGAGTGAAACCTCATCTTAGATCTGACATTGGTAGGTAGATGGATCTAAGTAAGAGCTGCATTTGTGGAGATCCTGTGATGAATGAAGTAAGAGTCTCACTACTATAGAATATTATTTTTCATCATAATTAGCTTTTCATCGTAATTAATGGAAACCATTGCCATAAGCCATGGCATTAACCTTTGAAAAGGCCAACATTCAGGTGGAAGAAATAAGAGCTACAGGCCTCTTGTAGAAATAGCCCTGAGCAGTTGAACATGATGGCACATGCCTAGAATCACAATTACTCAATGGGTAGAGATCAGGAGGATGGAAGCTTGGAGCCAGCTGGAGCAAAATGTTAATTAGACTTCATCTTGAACTAATAAGCCAGGCATGGTGGAGCACATTTGGCCCCCCAGCTATGTGGGGCACATAGATTAGAGGTGAGGGTCCAGGGCAGGCCTCAGGCAACAACAAAAAAGTCCCTATCTGAAAAGTGAACTAAAACTAAAAGATTTGGGGCTGGGAAGGTGGCTCAGTGGTAGAGTGCTTGCCTTGCATGCATGAGACCCTGGATTTGATTCCTCAGCACCACATAAGCAGAAAAAGCCAGAAGTGGTGCTATGGCTCATGTGGTAGAGTGCTAGCCTTGAGCTGAAGAGCTCAGGGACAGTGCCCAGGCCCAGAGTTCAAGCCCCACAACTGACAAAAAAAAAAAAAAAGCTGAGGGTATGGCTTAAGCCATGAATTCTAACCTCACTATCCCTCCACCCCACAGACACACAAATAGCCCTGAGTACTTACATCTCTCTCCCTCCCCCCACCCCTCTCTCTCACACACACACACACACACACAACTGAACAAGTATATCACAGGCACATACACACATAATAATAGCCCAGAGCAAGTATATCTGGCACCCTGAGATGCCTAGTGAGGATCTTGTGCAGCTTCTCACTGATGTCTTGTTCAATGGTGAGGCAAAATTAGCCTAGACATAGGGCCCATATGAAAGGAATGAAAGCCATCAGAAGCTTGTAGACTATGGGTAGCAAAGAAGGTTGTAGATAGCTGTGTCCTGTGCTGTGTGCCTTTGACAAGTCATTTTTCTCCACCTAAGCATCTGTCCCCAATTCTACAGACGTGAATGTGGCTTCCATGTTGGTTTCTCAGGGTCCAAGTCAGAAACAAGCAGGGAGCCATCTCTCCTGGGATCAGCTTCTCAAAGCCCCTTCCAGCCTTCCTGGACTGAGAACTGGTGTACTCAGGTGGCTCAGAGAAAGCTCCACAGAATGTTTGGTGCTGTCAGGCCCAAAAGGCTGAATCCTGAGAAGGGGTGTCCTCAACTCCAAGGACTACACATGTGCATCTGTGCATGCAGGTGAGCGATCAATTACCTTATCTGTAGTAAGCTTGGGCAAATAATTTAAGTATGCAGTGGAAAATGTAAGTAGGTTTCTACATAAATTTGTTAAAGATGAACTGAATGTATTTTAAAGTCCCATTTATATTGCTTTTATGGAACAGGTAGTTTAATAAAGTTCCTGTGTATGAGAGTTGCGTTTTATCTTGGCTTCCTCCCTCTGTAGCTTACGTCCACAGGATCCTGCAGAGAAGGTGTTTGATTTCCTGCCCAGACAGATGTGGAGATTCAGGAAGTGAGGGAGGACTGGGTTATGGCAGTCTTCTCTTCCAAAGGGTCCAGAGCCAAAAATGAGGATGCTGGCCCTGGCTTTTCTTGATATGTTCTTGGTATGTATTGATGGCATGACACATGCATCTAATCGAGGGCTTGGGGATGGGCTTCAGTTCCACACCTGTAGGGATATAGGCCCACACTTGACAACAATAGAATGTTCATGGGTTTTGTTGTTGTAGTTTGGTTTTGTTTGGTTTTGTCGGTCGTGGGGCTTGAACTCTGGGCCTGAGCACTGTCCTTTAGCTCTTTAGCTCAAGGCTAGAGCTCTACCACTTGAACCACAGCATCACTTTGGGTTTTCTGAGTGGTTTATTGGAGATAAGAGTCTCATGGACTTTCCTGCCCAGCTGGCTTTGAAACTTGATCCTCAGATCTCAGCCTCCTGAGAGGCTTGAGCAACTGGCCCCTGGCTGTTCATGGGTTTTTGTTCTGTGTTAAGCCAGCCTCTGTATGATCTCTGTAGGGCTGGCAAGTATGGATCTACTCCTTCCTGTCCCAATTGCGTTTTGGCTTAGGATACTTATTGTGAAATCACAGCTCACCTTTGGCTGGCTCAGGAATGGGGAGGGAGAGGAGAGGAGAGGGAGAGAGGTGTCATTACATAGGAAATGCAGTGTTAGCATGCATTTGAAAAGAAAGGTTGGTGTAGGATGCTTCTTTTCTTGTATCTCAGGTTTTATGCCTTGTACTGATCCTAGCTGCTGTATCTGAAAGCAGATTAGAGGAAAATCCCAGACTCAGACATCAATAGAGGAGACAGCTGGTGACATTCTTGTCTTGAGTTGCTGTACAATCCTTGGACATTTAGAATCTGGTTGTCTGGATTATAAGTACTTTAGGACACTAAATTCCTTATAGCACCTTATTCTTGCTATACCAGGAGTTGCCAACACAGTACCACCAAAGTTTATGGCTTTCCCAGAGGTTCTCAATTACTGTTTTATACTTTGGTTGTCTTTTGCAAGAGATGTGAGTTCTAGCCCTTCCACCAAAGATATGCATCAGATTAAAGGGACCTCTGTGTCCTAATACTTGAATTCCCCCCCCCCATGTTCTAGCCCTGCTCAGAAAAGAAAAAAATAGATTGATTTTTAGTGTATGTCCCTAAACACCTCTAAGCAATCAAATATATGAGCCAGATTTGGATAAGAGACATGGCATCTAGTCATTCAGTAAGTGCTTCTTGAAATTACTAGGGCGATAGGGTGAGAGTGCTCAGGCAGCCCAGACAGGATCTGTGGAAGGGCTGAATCACACAACCCAGAGCAACCTCTCTCCCCGAGGGCATCATCTTCTGCAAACATCTTTCAGTTAAAACATGGCTATGCCTCATTAGACCACCAAAGGAAGGAAAGGACTTGTATTCTTACAGTTGAAGCAAATAGCTTTTCTGTCTTTTGGGCCAGAGCTATGCAATAGAACCATTGGCTTCCTGGTAGGTGAAGACAATGGGACTTCACTGCAGGAAGGGTCATGGCCCCGGACAGTCAGCATTCAGTCTGTTCTTGCAGGACCTTTGGTGAGGGACCTCCAGGAGCGTGGCACCACCCCTCTGCCCACCATCCTGTGGAATGGAGGAGTCTGAGTTTCTCAGTAAGGATGCCTGTAAAAAGATTCTTTGACTAGATTTGTATGGGCCACTGGAATCATCTGGGCTTTGCCCCTCCCCTCCTCAGGAGCATCTAAGGTCTGAGTGACATCATTGCAAGGAGATGATATTCCCTAGCTTGTTTGCAGTTGCAGTGGAGGAGCTCAGGATAAACTTTCCCTGAGGAACTGTGGCATGGCTTGTAAGTAGTTTCTCAGGACGACGCCTCATTAGGAAGCCAGGTAACCCCTCTGCTCTGGTCTGAGTGTGTATCACCCTCACCAAAAGGAACACACACCCTCCTTCCAGGAAGGAGGCTGGGTTTGACCCCTAGCCTCCTGAACCATCGATGAGAAGATGAGGAGGCCACCTTTGTGACCACATGAGTCCAGGCCAGATGGTAGCTGACAAGTGGCCTGCCTCGGGGAGCGCAGGATGATTGCTGTAGGTAATGAGCTATCCTGGGAAGCTCCAGGACTTGGAGCATCAGCACCTGGAGGTGTGCCTGTCATAAGGAGTATCCTGTATGTAACAGAATCACCAGGTCTGGGCTCCTGGTCCCAACACAGACCCACCAATTAATATCTTTGCTGATGAACCCCTAATTCACCTTATTA